CCCCCCGGACATGGGTTTCGATGATGCGCACTTTGGGGGCGGGTCAAGGGCAACAAGGGTGGGGGTCGGAGGCACGCGTGAAAAACCTCATAAAAACACGGTATTTACGGTGATTTCAGCGTTTTTCAGCGTTTTTTACTGCCTTGGGGCCGCCGGCCAGGGCTGCTGATGCTCATGATGCTCGCCTGGTTTTGGGCTTCCGGTACCCCCCCCAAACCTTGAAAAACGTGGTTTCGGCCTGGCGCGCGCCCCATGTGAAAAGCTAGGGTCGATGATGCGCGCCTGTGAGGGTTTAATGGGGTGCTGCGGGTGTTTTGTGGCCTCGGTTTTTCGTAAAAAACCATGGTTTTTACGTGGATTTCGTGCTTTTCGCACCACCGCGTGTTGCGTCCCCTTGGATGCCGTTTTGGAGGCCTCCCGAAGGGCCCCGCGCGAATATGAAGCAATTTTGAGCGGGGTCGGCGGCTCGGGCGCTCGCCCCTTAAAGCTGGCGCTTTAGTGCGACGCGGGCTCCGCCCTGGACCACGGGCGGCGCGGGGGCCGGATTTAAGAGCCTCCGACCCCGCAGGAGAACAAGTTTAAGGTTTGGGGTTTGGTGATTTTGTTTGCGGTTCCTGGGGGGGGGGGGGGTAGCGGGGGGGGAGGGGTAGAAAACGCCTATGGTCCATGAGTTTACGCGGTGTGGGTGGCCTGTTCCTCCACGGAAAAGCTGGCGGGGTACCCCCCCCTACCCCTCCCGCTGCGTTTTGGGGGGGTAAGGAGGGAAAGAGGGAGGTTTTCACCTCCTTTTCCCATCCAACACGCCGCCAGGGTCGGCGGACCCTAAACCCCAAACCCTAAACCCTAAACCCTAAACCTCTAAACCCTAAACCCTAAACCCAAGTGCCTTATAGCGTGAAGCTGATGCCACCTGCACAGGCAGCTGCTCGAGCTCGCCGCCCTCACGGACGCTGCGGGCTTCGGGCGCACCGTGACCGCAGCAGCGCCACGGCCTGACATGTAGGGGTTGAGGGTTGGGGGTTTAGGGTTTAGGGTTTAGGGTCTAGGGTTTAGGGTTTAGGGTCTAGGGTTTAGGGTGTAGGTTTATGAAGATGATGGGCTGTTCAGGTTCAGGTTTGAGGGAGAAGGGTGCTACATGAGGTGGCACGTTGTTCCAGTCCTGTTGGTTTTTTGGACGCTCCGGGTTTTCCTTCAGTTGCCTTTGCAACCGCACCCTAAACCCTAAACCCTCAAGAAGCTTGGGAGGTTTCGGGCCGAGAAGTTTTGCGCCCCCTCCCTGGAATCGAATCAGGGCACGGCCCTGCCTGCTATGCTTACGGGCCTAGGTGGTCAGCAGCGCTCCCGCAAGTTGAAGGTTAGGGTCTAGGGTTTAGGGTCTCGGGTTTAGGGTTTCGGGTTTAGGGTTCGGGTTTAGGGTTTAGAAGGGATAGGTGTCTTCTTGTTGCACAACAGCGCGCCTCAATGCTGCAAGGTGCAGGCCGGCGTCTACTTTGACGAGCAGGCGCGACCGGTTAGCGCGACCTACCCCTATCCCCGAAAAACTCCAGTCAGTTTGGGTTTAGGGTTTCGGGTTTCGGGTTTCGAGTTTCGGGTTTAGGGTTTAGGGTATTCTGTTTAGGGTTGAGGCTTTCGGTTCACAGCATCTATAGGTTCAGGAGCTCACCCCCTGGAGTTTGAGCGCCCGAGCCTCCCCGAAAGCTCCAAAACCCAAAGCTCCAAACCCCTAAACCCTAAACCCTAAACCCTAAAGCTCTCCAATCCCCTTGTCTCCACACCCCCTCTTGCCCAATACAAGCCCTGGTGGTAGAACGGACGAGCCGGAAGTGCGCTTGCGTAGTAAATGGATTGCAGGTTCCTAAACCCTAAACCCTAGACCCTAAACCCTAAGGTTGGTGAGGGTTTGGGGCATTATCAGGCTCAGAGCTTGGTGTTGATAAGGGCCCCTGCCTTGAACTCCGAATCGCAAGGATCTCCGAGCCATATGGGAAAGCCGTGGAAAAAAACCCAATTAGGACCCAGAGTAGGCCCTGATTCAGGGTTCAGGGTTCAGGGTTCAGGGTTCAGGGTTCAGGGTTCAGGGTTTAGGGTTTAGGGTTTAGGGTTTAGGGTTTAGGGTTTAGGGTTGGGTACCCTCAACCATCCTAAACCCTCTGATATTACCCTAAGGGTCCATGCACCCAAATAGGGAATGCTTGGGCCTTCAAGTACCTCCTATATGGGGGGACTTTCGGGCCCCAGTATATAATTATGAGGTGCATGGAGCTCTAGGGGTACTCTTGGGTCGAGTACTTGGAGGTTCATGGTACTTATTAACCACTTATAACTGTACTTATAACTGTACCTATAACCATATTAGGGCACTTAAGGGTCTTATAACTGGGTTATAAGCACAGTTATGGTTGGTTAGTAAGCACCATGAACCTCCAAGCATAGGACCGGAAAGCAGTGAAAAGCCCTAAAGAGTCCAAGGTTGCTTCACGAAGGCCCCAAGCAGCTTGCTACATCCTCGAACCCCAATCCCGGCACTAAAGGTCCCCCGGTTTATTGTTTTGGGTTAGGGGGGGGAGCTTCCCCCTGACAGAATTTTGCGGGGTTTGGTTTAGGGTGTAGGGCTAGGGCTTTAAGGGATCAGGGTTTAGGGGGTTTAGGGCTTAGAGCTGTTAGATCCTGACACAGGCTTTCGCCACGTTGATCGGCAAGCTGCTCTCAAACGAGGCGTGTGCTCCGCAAGCCATAGGTACAGGCCCCTGATGTTTAACATTTCCCTTTTGGGGTTTTGGGGTTCCCTAAGAACCATATCATAGACCCTAAGAAAAGCCCGACACCACCAAAAGCCTCAACGCCTCATCAACAACCCTAACCCTAAACCCTACACGCAAAACCCTAAACCCCCTTCGAAGCTAGGGTGCCCACGTAGCTACCAGCATTGGCCCATAGATCCCCTACATCATTCGGATGTAAGCTATCACATTCCAGAATGCAAGTTCTTTAAGCGAGTGGGTTTAGGCCTTAGGGTTTAGGGTTTTAGGGTCCTTGGGGGGAAACCCTGATCCCCAAAACCGTTCGGGGGTGAACTATAATCCCTAATTGAGAACAGTGGGGTGGTACGAGTGGTCGGAGAAGCGCGAGCGTGCAGAAGAAGGTGCTTCACTGGTTCAGCGTTTAGGGTTTATAGGGGCCCGAATTTGCAGAGTCTAAACCCTGAACCCTAGATCCCTAAACCCTAGACTTAGGGTTTAGGGTTTAGGGTTTAGGGTTTGGGGTTTGGGGTTTAGGGTTTAGGGTTTCAGGAAATGCGACATATCGAAGGTTGCCGAAAATAAGGGTACGTCATGGGGGTCCTTAGTTGAAGGGAGTCCTACTATTTTGGGGTTTTACATCTGGGGTCCCTTCTTAGCGCAACCCCCCAAAATAATGTTCTTAACTTAAGGCGCACGTCATGACCTGCTGTCCGTTTCAGGGCAGCAGGCGGCTTTGGGGTGTTGGCTTTGTTGGGCTTCAGGTGAGAACCTGCGGGGGGGGGGGGGGGGGTGTTGCCGCAAACCCAACAAACCCCAAAGCTTGAAGTGGGTGGTTGTCAAAATCATAATCCCTTCTGGGAAACCCTAAATACTAGGTGCCGCATTATCACCCTCAACCTTAAACCCTAAACCCTGAACCATAACATTGACAGACAATCACCACAGTGAAAGAAGCAAATCCCATGGGCATGAGATCCGAGCCTCCCTGAGCCATAAGCGCGATAAGGTTGAGCCCCATATAAGCCATGAACAAGCCTTTTCACGAGGGCAACTAAGGGTTTAGGGTTTAGGGTTTAGGGTTTCGGGAGGAGTGGGAAGAACACGGCCCGTGACAACCAGTAATAGCATGATGCACCAATGCACGGGCGCAAGCCAATGATTCATTATGTTACAAAAAGCAACCCAACACCCCCCAAGAGAACACAGGGGTTCTTTTTTGCGCGTGAACTTATTCATAGTGAAAAGCAATTGGGGGCTCGATACTACACGCAAGCCCTTAAACCATTACTCCAAAACCCCTGCAACCCCAAACCCAAAGCCCCTATACCCGAAACCCTAACCCTTAACCCCTAAACCCTAAGCCCTAAACCCTAAGCCCTAAGCCCTAAACCCTAAACGCTACACCCGAAACCCTAAACCCTAACCCCCACTGCCATTCCTTGCCCCAAACGCAGAAGGCCCCGCACGCCATGGTGCGCTGCGCCTTAAACTTTGGATTGCCCAAAGCACCTCAGCCGACAATGACTGGGTTTAAGGCTTAAGGTTTAGGGTTTGGGGTTTGGGGTTTGGGCTTTCGGGTTTGGGGTTTAGGGTTTAGGGTTTATAATTTGGAGTCTCGAAACGAATTCGGGCCTTAAGGTGTTTAGGGCCGAGGAGGTGTGAGGTTGTCCGGGTTTCGGGCTCCAGGTCTCATTGGGCGTTTAGGGACTTGGGTTTGGGATGTTCCCCCTTACACTAACAGTCCGTAGCAGCGATGATCATAGGAGGTACTATAATCCTCATTACGGGCTGTTAGCATAAGCGGGAACGTCCCAAATTTGGGTTTACAAGGCTTTGGGTCGAAGGAACCGTAAGAAAACCCCCCAAGCCCAACAGGGGCTTGGTCCCCCTGGTTCTTCGTGGGGAGTGAGGGAATCTATATATAGATATATACCCTTGAAGGGAACTCATTCCCTGATTCTCTACTAAGAACCAGTCAGTGGTGCTTTTGACGGGGTTTGAGGCTTGCTTGCTGGGTTGAGGGTGTGCAGCGGGCCGCGGGGTTTTCGTCGACGGTTTCCTCAGTCCTAAACCCCCGCCCCCCCCCCCTCCGCAAAAAAAAACAAGTTAGTTTATAAATAAAACCGAATTAATTGAATAATTACCCAAACCCTAAACCTTGGTCGACTATGAGAAAGGCCAAGGCCTAAGGCCTCAGGAGTTCGCCGTCGACCTGACAGCGTAGTTCAGGAGTTCTCAGTCGACCTGTAGTTCGATGCGATGGCAACCCCGAAGCTCTAAAACTCAAGGGTCACAGGGGTTTAGGGCAAAAGTTGTTCGGGGTTTAAGGGTTGCATGTAGGGCGTTTGATGCTTAGGGGGGTCTAAGGTCGAGGGGTTCGGGGGTTGAGGGCCCAAGGGGCCTCAAGACAGTGAAAATCGGTAGCTTGGTGCAGGGCTTTTTGTTTAGACGAAGTACTGACGGGGTGTGACGTCATATGGTACCTGGAATGGAAAATGCAAATATGTTTGGATGCACGGGTGTTTATGGCTGATCTTTGCGATTCTCCGACTACGACACCTGCGTGGTTTTGCCTTCGGAGACGAAACCTGCATGTATACTCCTTGAACATGTCAAGTACAGACCAGATGTTTCCGGCAGTTTTCGTGTATATATATATACATACATATATAGATACACATGTATGTATGCATATATATATATATATGTATGCATGGGTATCTATGCATTCACGTGTGGAGTTCACCTTTTTGTACTCCAGGCACCCCAAGCCCGCCGCCCCCATCCCCCCCATCCCCCCTGGCTCATGCCCGCATCGCCTGAGGACGGCGAGGTGATTCCGCTCGTCCCCATCGATATCCGCGAAAACGAGCCGGGTCGCAAAGTTCTGGATAGTGGGAGTGGGGGTGGGCTTAGGGTTTCGCCCGACGGGTTCAGTTACGGGGGTGGGGTACATCGTAATACACAGTGTTTCGTGTTCTCGAGGCCGGGAGACAACAATTATTGAGAGTCTGCTTCCTGGTGTCGGGCTGTGTGATTGCTCAGAATCCTTTGTCTTTCCAGGAAGCAGAAAGCCCAAACCCCCGACTCAAAACCATGAACCACCCACTATAGACCCTAAGCAGAGAATTGGCAAAGCCCAGACTTAAACAAAAAACAAAAAGAAAAACAACACACACACACACACACAGAGCAGCATAGGCTGTGCACTGCAGCGGCAAGGCCTGCGTGGCTAGAAACGAAATGGTGTTTTTTCGAGGCTGACATGCATTGCTTCAGCTGACAATGTTTCGAAAGCCTCATGCACATTCAGAGCACGCACCGTGAACAAGGAGGAGCAGCGCAGGGGACAAGACGCCGTTTTGGCCCGAAAAACCATCCCCGTAACTGAGCCCGCCAGGGGGTTTAGGGTTTGCTGTATGGCGCAGATGCTTGGGATGCAGAAGAGGCTCGAAAGCTTCGTCAGGTGCGACGAGCACGTCTGGCCCGACTCAGGAGGGCCTTCTAACCAGGCCGTTCAAGGCGGCAAAGCCACCCTGACCAATTCCTTGGGTTTAGGGTTTAGGGTTTAGGGTTTAGGGTTTAGGGTTTAGGGTTTAGGGTTTAGGGTTTAGGGTTTAGGGTTTAGGGTTTAGGGTTTAGGGGGCTTTAGGCCTAAACTGCCTACGTCCAAAAAGCCTCTTCCTTTACCGATCGTGTGAGGCCGTTTCAGTGGGTCCAATGCCCGCAGCATCGTTTCCAGAAGGTTTGGGGGCGTTAGGCCCCAAATTCAGGGTCCTAAACAGGTCCCTAAGCGCCGCCCCCACTGTCGGGGCGGCCTAGGCCTTGAGTTGTCGAAGCTTATTACTTCTTACACTTATTACCATTGGTTCTGTTTTTTTTTTTCTGTCTTTAGAGGCGTAGTAAAGCCTTTACTGGAAGATCTTCCCAATGTCTGAACGATAAGGAGACCCAAGGGCACCCCTTGACCCCTATAGCAAGCCTCGACTTCACACCAAAACCACCCTAAACCCTAAACCCTAAACCCGAAACCCGAAACCCTAAACCCTAAACCCTCAGAGCCTTCAACCCAAAGAATCCCTTGGTTGGACTACGTAGCGGGGTTTTTTTGTCCTGCTTTGTGGTTTCAAGGAGCAGGTTTCCGGCTTCCGGCCCGGAGGCCTTCAACCCGAAAGCTTAGGGCTTTTTGAGTTTAGGTTTTAGGCTTTAGAATTTGGAATGTATAGTTTAGGGTTTAGGGTTTAGGGTTTAGGGTTTAGGGTTTCGGGTTTCGGGTTTCGGGTTTCGGGTTTCGGGTTTCGGGTTTAGGGCTAGAGCCCGAGACATTCTCTTGGTTCGTTGGAATGCTGGCACCTGTAAGCCCTAAGCTCGGGCCGAAAGCGAAACCCTTGCACCGTTAAGCCCGTAAACCTCTTAAGAACCCAAGACCTCCTTTTTTGTAGGTTCGTAGTATGCCATTGTTCTTCTTCTTCCGTCGCCGCGAGAGAGTCTCATACGATTCTTATAGGAATATCATGTCCTTCCTCGGTTCTGGGGTCTGAAGGTTAGATCTTTAAGTCCTGCGTCAGCGATGCTGAGGAGTCGGGCGACGTCTTCAAGGGTGCAGAGCAGAATGACACCGGCGAGCTCGATGCTGGCCAGTTTTTGGACATGACGGGTTTGGGGTTGAGGGTTTAGGGTTTAAGGCTTCTTTCGCCATTGTTGTTTCACATCTCTCCCTCTCTCTCCCCCTCCCCCTTTCTCTCCCTCTCTCCTGCTCGGCTCGCTCTTTCTCTCTTGTCTTGAAAAGCCTCGTAGCAGCAACCTGCGTTTTTGAATGTGCACACAGTGCCTCCTTGCAGATTCGGAGGTTTGGGCGAGGCTCCCTCAGTCCCTCAGCCAAGGACAGCCTAAAGCTACGATTTCTCCACATCGCCACAACGCAAGTCCCCCCCAACACTCCGGAATTTTGCGTCCACCACACTGATAGCTCAAGCAACCCTAAGCCCGAAACCCTAAACCCTCGGATTCAGCTCCATGCGCTCTTTGCACGAGGATCGGCACGATTGAATACTAAAATTGTGTTAATATCATTTGGTAATCATAGATATAATGACATAGTTAACATGCCTTCTGAGGATCTGGACCTGGTCACGCAGAACGAGCTAGCGCCTCCCATGCTCGAGCGACTCGGCTTAAGGTTCTCAAGGGCTGAGTTGATGTACAGTGTTAAACTCTAACCGCCCTAACCCTAAACCCTAAACCCTAAATGGACCACCTCAGCTAGTCTGCTTGGTGTGGCACGACAGCCCTAAGCCCTGAGCCATCTAACCTAAACCCTGAAAGGACTTGGGGGTTGTGTGGATTTAGGGTTTAGGGTTTTAGGCTTCAGGGGTCAAAAATCAATCCCAAAATCCCTCAGCCCATTTCCGCACGACTTCTTGGAAGACTCAGGTATGCGGGCTGCCTTCGCAAGAAGGAGCTCAACGGGCTCTACCAGCGATCCTCGCTCGCACACCGGTTTTCCTGGGCTCTTTTTTAAAGGGCATAAAGGAAGCTACCAGATGTAAGGTTTAGATTTTAGGGATTAAGGTGAAACTTTGCGGTTGCTGCATGTCAGCTCCTGAACAATGACCCAGCTTTGGTTGCTGGTTTGGGGCTTGTAGGGCTTACATCTAAGGTTTATAGGGTTTAGGGCTTAGGGTTTAGGGAGTAGGATACTATGCGTTTGCTTGATGTAGGAGGAGTTCCTTCGGGCATTACCAGCCGGTGGGCACCGGAACGTTCCGCAAAGTAAGGGAACCGAAGAAGAAGAAGAAGCGCACATTCACACACTGGGGAGGTGTATCAAAGCTGGGTGAATTCCATTCTTAAGTCCAAAACGCCCGGGAACTCTATAGTATAGTTCTGTTGCAGAGGCTTCCTTGAACTGAAGGCGGCTGACATGGCCAAGGTCAAATACACCCCCCACCCCTGTGTGTAGGGTTTGGGTTCGAACCACAGGCCCCCAATCCCTGAACCCTGTAAGGTTAGACGACTCCGTGGTTTAGGGTTTAGGGTTTAGGGTTGATAGGATTTAAGTTTTAGGGCTTAGGGTTTAGGGTTTAGGGCTTAGGGTTTAGGGTTTAGGGTTTAGGGTTTAGGATTTAGGGCAAAAGCACGCCTGCCATCATCTAGTGTTTCCACTGCCTTCCGTCATCTCCCACCCCGCCCTCTCCCCTGGACCCCTCGGGTTCCTTCCGATATAGGGCCTAGGGTTAGGGATTTAGGGTTTAGGGTTTAGGGTTTAGGGTTTAGGGTGTAGGGATTTATGACCGAGCGTTCTCGCCGAACGAACTGAAAAAGGCTTGCGACAGTTCTCAAAATTCTGGTCTCTTTTTGGGGTTACTATCATCAGGCGGCCCCTAAGAAAACTTAGGGCACCCAAAAAGGGACCATTATTGTAAACGCCACAGAGGGGGGGTGGGGTGCAAGGGCTCCTGGCCTGCTTTTAGGGGTCTAGGGAGTGTTAGGCAGATCCCGGGGTTTAGGGTTTAGGGTTTAGGGTCTAGGGTTTAGGGTTTAGGGTTTAGGGTCGTGGGTAGCCTGGAACCCTTTTAGCAGTTCGGGCCATAGAGGGGCGCGGCGCGCGTGGTAGATTTCGGGCCAAGGGGAAGGGTTGAGAAGGGAAGAAGGAGACCAGACCCTGGTACTGCTTGTTCCGACGCCTCTCCACTGGAAGCCGAGAGAACTGCTTGTCTACCTGCGAAAGAAAGGCTGCGGGCCTAGTGTCTAGGAGCCCGAGAGCCCCAAACCTTAAACCAAGAAGACCCCCCACATCAAGCACACCGGAAGCCACCCTATTAAGCCTTCCCTAAACCCTGAGCCGTGAATTCTGAGCCCTGAACCCAAACCCTAAACCCTAAACCCTAAACCCTAAACCCTAAACCCTAAACCCTAAACCCTAAGCCTAAACCTTAAATCCTGAACCCTAAACCCTGAAACTCTGAAACCCTCCCCAGGGCATGCCGGGCGTCGGGATCTCCTTGGGCACATGAGGAGCCTTCGGCTTATTTAGGGTTTAGGGTTAAGGGTTTAGGGTTTAGGGTTCAGGGTTTAGGGTTCAGGGTCCCTAGGGTTTCCTAAGCCCTAAAGTTTAAAATCCCGAAACCCCACAATCCCTAAACCCTAAAACCCCTCTCTAGCCCCTAAACCCCGAAACCTAAATCATACACCCCTTAGGCCCTATTAGGGATTAGGCTACCCTCCTTTGCGTTTCTCTAAGGCAGTTTCATGGGTCCCTTACCTTATTGAAAGTTTAACGGGCTCTGATGTATGGGCCCTTGGGTTGTATAAGGTTTATAAGGGGTAAACAAGGGGTTCCCATTTATCATAGTAAGGGACCATGTAACTATAAACCCTAAACCCTAAACCCTAAACCCTAAACCCTAAAAACTAAACCCTAAACCCTAAACCCTAAACCCTAAACTAGCCGAAGATGTTCGGGCCGGGGGTTCTCTCCACTGTCAGGGATGGCTATTGGTTTAGGGCTTTAGGGTTCAGGGTCTAGGGTTAGGGTTTAGGGTGTAGGGTTTGGGCTTAGGGTTTAGGCATCCAAAGAACCGTTGAACCCCAAAGCACGGTTAGGGTTTAGGGTTTTATTGTTTAAGGTTTCGAACTTGATGGTTTTTTGGGGTTCTTGGGGTCTCCTGGCGTTCAGGGCTTTAGGGCCTAAGGGGTTTTAGGGGGTTCTAAACTTTAAATCTTAAACGACCCTAAACCCTAAACCCCCCCCTAAATAACCCTAAACCCCCCCTAAATCCTAAACCCTAAACCCTAAAACCCTAAACCTTAAAACCCTAAACCCCGCACCCCCCCCCCCCCCCCCCCCCCCCCCCCCCCCCCCCCCCCCCCCCCCCCCTTCCCACACAATAGAGCCAAGGCCCATCTACGAGAGGCGTCTGGGGATCGCTCGTCGCTTCTGCCTCTACTTCTGGGATCCCGCCCTCACGCCCCTGGGCTCAATCTGTCTACGGACCCAGGGTAGGCCCACATTCCCTTCTTTAGGGCTTAGGGTTTAGGGTTTAGGGGTTTAGGGTTTAGGGTTTAGGGTTTGGGTTTAGGGTTTAGGGTTTAGGTATAAGCCTGCTTATAACCTACCTAGAAGACTTTAGGGGGCTTATAGGTGCAGTCATAATTGGGGTTATGAGCACCCATGAACCTCTGAGGCTTCTTTATCCGCCGAAGATATACATTCGCCCTTTTATCTAGATGTAGATCTATACCGATATTCGTATGTGTGCATGTGTATGTATATCTATGTAGATGTATTCATAGCATGCTCTTATTGGGTTTAGGAGGGTCATACTCTGTATTTAGATCAGAGTCTTGTCTTGGGGTATGTTGAACTGTTCATAGACGGGTACAGGGTTGAGGCTTGCAGGCTTTTCCCAGGGCAGAGACCGACACGCAAGGCCAAGCGCGCAGCCCAATAGACTCCCCTCCGAAGCCTTCCTGGGACCAAGAGTTTTTGTTAGGGTTTTTTAGGCTCTTAGAAGCCCCCTAAACCCTAAACCCTAAACCTTAAACCCTAAACCCTAAACCCTTTTGATTCCTAGGGTACTCTTGGGCCTACTCTAGCCGACTCGTTTGAGGCCCTCTGGCCTAAACCCAAGTGGGCATTCGCCGACCGAACATTTAGGGGTTTAGGGGTTTAGGGGTTTAGGGGTTTAGGGGTTCAGAAGTTCAGGAAGTTCAGGGGTTCAGGGGTTAGGGGTTTAGGATGTAGGGGTTTAGGGGTTTAGGGGTTGAGGGTTAAACCCTCAACCCTCAACCCCACCGACAGCAGACCCTTCCAAGGTTGGAACCTTGGGCCCTCACTTTTGTCTATAAGGGTTACATAACAAGGGGCCCGAACTAAGGGCCCATACTTGGAACTTTAGAATCTTGCTACCCTAAACCCCCAAACCTAGACCCTAACTAAACCCTAAACCCTAAAGCCTAGGAAGGACGAAGAGGCTTCTTCCTGGCAGCGCGGGTGGTACTTGGCCTCGGAGATTGGCGGCTCTGACTCGCACGGAGTCAACACCCCAACGTTCAAGGGTTTAGGGTTTAGGGTTTCCGGGTTTAGGTTACAGGTCTCGGTTGATCCTGGTCCCTATAATTGAAGCATGGGCTCAGGGTTTTGGTTTCCCAAGGGGGCAGCAAGGGGTTAGGGCCGGTTAGGGTTTAGGGTTTGGGGTTTAGGGTTTAGGCTTTAAGGACCGCACGATTGCCATGTGGGGTCGCTCAGAGTTCTGGTCGGATTCGGGTCAACTGGCCTTCAATTCTACACCTTCATATGAAACAGGGTGTATATGAATTACTGTTATCGGTGAGTGTATATAAGGTTCCTTTTTAATATTGGTGAGTGTATATATGGGGTGTCCTTGTGGGGGTGCAAGAAATATCAACCCTGCTTCCTATACGTGTGTATTCTCTAAACTAATTAGCGTCCCTTTTTGGGTGCCCCAACTATTCGGGGCCGCCTTCTAGTAAGGACCTCAACAGGGGCCATAATTTTGGGGTTTAGGGTTTAGGGTTTAGGGTTTAGGGTTTAGGGTTTAGGGTTTAGGGTCCCCCCCAACAAAGGAAACGGCCGGGCTCATACCCGAAACCTTATCATGATCAGCCCCGAATCTCCGCGCACGACAACCTAATCACAACTCTCAAAATGGAACCAAGAGCACCAAAAAAACACAAAAGCCCTAGAAAGCCTTGAAGCCTTGAAGTCTAAAGCCCCCCCCCCCCCCCCAAACTCACACCCTGAACCCGAAACTTAACCCCTATAAACCCTAAACACACACACGGACATGTGAATTCCAGAAACTTTCCGGGTAGTCCCATGTCCCGCTTCTAGACGGCCTTGGTTGTAGGGTTTAGGGTTTACGGTTTGGGCTTTCGGGTTTAATGCATATATGGGGCTTTCTTTCCATGGAACAGGGGTACCGCGTTTTTCGGCGGGTCCTCTGCTAAGGGATATAGGATTTTGGGGGTGTATGGCGGGTTCCCGATTTTGGGAAACAACATACACTGGGATGTTCCCCCTTATACTAACAGTCCTTGAAATGTAATTGGGGGGGTGGTATTATAATCCCTATGAAGGACTGTGAGTATATAAGGGGGAACGTCCCAAAACATGCACATGTTTCGATGCCTCCTCACCCTAAACCCTGAACGCTAAACCCGAAACCCCATCAGATTCACGAGAGCCTGCGGGCCTTCCAGAGCAAAGGCGGAGGCGGCCGTACGTTCGCACGCCGCCTTGTGAAGAGCGAGGAGGGGGAGGAGGACTCCAGCAAGCTGCGGTTTAGGGTTTAGGGCTTAGGGTTTACGGTTTAGGGTTCAGGGTTTAGGGCTTGCGGTTTAGGTGGCCATGTGTCATGCCTCATCTTGGGGGCTTGTGTTGAGTTGCTCTATGAGAGATGAATTTGCAGATTTAGAACCTCCCAAATCCCTCGTAATGGACTCCTAAACCCTAAACCCTAAACCCTAAACCCTAAACCCTAAACCCTAAACCCTAAA